TTAGTCAAGTTTATGAAACCTCTGATACATGATTCTTAGAGTACCGCAATATACGTACCTTAGGATAAATGATGTACAATACATTTTCTGAAGACCGAAAATAGATATGGGTGCTAATAAAATTTATGAACTCTAATAGAATTATTTCTCCTAATGGACAATTATATCTTTTAATTTAACTTTAAATGCAAATTTATATAAGAGCACAATTAAAGAAATCTTGTTCATATTATTATATGTCGCTACATATGCAAAAATTATATATACAGATTTGAGAAAACTCATTTGCTGCATTCTTAAATTTTTTTTCAATTATATTTATGAAGAAACATGCATAGAAAGGATGACACACACTACCACCATTCCTATGACTAAATATAACCAACATAACTACTATAGTTATTCAAAAATTGATTATCAATTATCGAAATCTACGAATTATTTTTGCATTTTAATGTTTCAAATTATCAAGTATGGTAAAATACAAAATACTATTAAATAATTTTATTTGCAGTAAAATTACGTTTTTTCACAGAGTTTGCATATCTGTAGGTGCAACTCTACATAAACATGTAGTTTTAAACTGATTATATTAGCATTTTGCTTCACAGCATTTTCACTTTTATACAGGTCTCTGTATCTGATGGTCCTTCTTATTGAGGTAGCCTGAGCAAACCTCAAATTTCTATTTATTTATATATTTATGTAATATAATTATTTAAAAAATATATAATACTTACATTGAAAATATGTGTGATAATAATGTTTGTATTTTTCTACAATCTTTTTGTATTTATTTTCGGCGTTTTAGCCAGATTATTAAAAAATATTGTATAATATAGAACGAGTTATAAAATGGTATTCCAGTAATGAAAAATGGGACGCGACAAATAATGTGTATCCAATATGTATTCTGTATAACGGAAGCATCGCAAAATAGTATGGATTATACTTTTTAGATATTTATTACTTATTTTTATCAATTTTATTATAACGTTGTTATTTACGTATTTATTTCAAGAAAAATAAACTTGTTTTTAATAAACACATTATAAACTGCATGCTAGATGCACTGTGTTCAAACAGAAAAATTTTATATTATAATGAATTCTTCTGATTCTTCATGTACAATATATTTATATAATGGTAACGATGTATACATTTTATTCAAGATTTTATAATACTGTCGTTATTGCGAGTTATAATTCCATTGTGATATAAAATGTTGCACGTACCACATAAACGCGTATAGTTACCTCCGCGAATTCGCGACGATTTCTAAAGGTTGCGGAAACGAAACAAGCAAAAATAAAATAAAATAAAACTGCAACCAGTACCGGTATAATGGTTTGGTTTATTCAAGTACTAGATGGGTAGATATATGAAAATGGTAAATGCTGATAAGCACCTATAATAATACAATACCAGTTTGAGAGAAGGAAAGAGAGAGAAATTTAATTGTGTGGAGGTTGCAAACTGTTTCAATAAGGAACGTGCTACAAAATTTAATATATGTACATTTCCATATTCCTTAAAATAGTAATTGTGTGATTTATATTATACAGGAAATAATAACGTCGAAAATTTATCAACGACTTTTTAATAAAACACGAGATTATTTATACAATGTATTGTATATAATCTTATTTTCATTATCTTCAAAATTTTAGAAACTTTGTAAACTGATTATCGTTTTAAAATATGATGAAAACATATTAGATACATAAACTTTCGATTTCCAAATAACATGTAAATAAAATGAATTGTGTATGTGAGTATTTATACGTATATATGATATATGTGTAAAAACATTAACGTACAATGATTTTTTAATAAAATCTCGCAGCTTTAAATCTTATTAGATAATGGATGTAGAATTAAAATATTAACGTTTTATTTACTTTTAATAATTTTATTTTACCATAAAAATTAATATTGATTTGATATAAATACATAGCTAAAAATAAAACGTAAAAGATACGTAGGCGCTAAAAGAGAGAACAAAAGTTTACAAAGCTGAAACTGTCATTGTTATAATTAATCTGTAAAGGAGATTTATATTAGAGCGATTTATATTTTTGTAAAATTTTTTAATATTCCATATTTTTGAGCGCATGTGAATTTTTATATAGGTGAAATTAATGAATATGCAAAATTTAATCAGATAGCAGATTGACATGTTTAGTATACGTATTTTGTTTGTATATTTGTACCCATTTACATGTGTAATCATTTGCTACGTAAAGTTGCTCTCTGTGCAAAAATACATACCATAAATCCGATACACGTGGCTTGTATAAGAAATTGTCATATGTCTTTATTGATTTACTATGATGAAAACGAATTGTGTTTGTCTCTGATTAAGGATGCTTGTCACGTAGATATGGATCAAAGCTGTCACATATATAGTATATACGTATAGCAAGAGACAATAGTTTAGATTACTTTAAAAAAAAAGGATGAGATAATGAATATCGACGAGATATTGCTTATCATATTTACAACAAATGCAATCTTTTTGAATTTAAATTTATCCTTTTGATTTATTATTAAATTGTTGATTGCAAGGAAAAAATATTTTGTGAAATATCGATCTTTTATGAAACAGCAATTTACAATACATCTTTATCTATCAATTATTGAAAGTGATAGTTACTATTTGTAAACTTCTATTACCTAGAAATTAATTAATCAATTTACCAGTTGTTGTTAACAGATATGTGCTGTTAAATTTACAGCTATTTTGTTGAACGTGAAAATTAATAATTGATAATTCAACGCTCTCATAGAACATGCTGTATATTATAATACTGTAGCTTAACACGCGTTGGATTCATCGCGCACTCTTCGATTACATTTCTGTTCAAGCAGTCGTATAAAGATGGTTATAGCTTACATAAAACATATAACTTATAAACATAGAACTTATATAACCGTAAAATTGTCTCTCTGAGAGACGTAGACAATGTGACGTGTTTTATCGTATACGCGAAGATTTACCTCGCTTCATGTTCCATGTTTTTATCGAGTGTCTATGCCACAAGAACAGTTTTCAATACAGAATGCATGAGAAATCAAATATCGTTCGAGTTAAACGACTAAACATTTTACGAGATTTTGTGTAATGGTCATAATACATTACGAGAGTGAAAAATATTAATATTAAATTAGAAAGTGATTTTATACAAGCGATTATTTCGAACAAATACAAGTATATATCCGATTTTGAATAATAAAGAGTAATCGTGTACAATATTTTCTTTTATTTATACTTTTCTTTTTTCTGAGAGATTATAAAGAATAAATATATTCTCTCTATTTATAACATATTATATAATGTAGAATATAAACCAGTCTTTCAAAAGATATCAATTTAATTATTATTTTGACTAATTTCTAAGTAGCGCGTACTATTTTCATTAAAAATTGTCATTATTATAGAAAGATGTATAAAATATTTATGTGTTGATTATTATAAAAAATATCTGTATTTATTATACAATGTTAATTATAAAATATAAATTTAATAATAATTGTAACACAGAAATAACAAAGTAATGCCAACGAGAATCGACACGGATGTTGATGTGTATATTTTTTATTGTTACAATATCGAGCCACATACAAACTATGCGCCGCACTTTTTGTCGGTCTTAAAACACAATTCCTTACATGAAGCTGGAATCCACTGTAACGAATAAAATTGACGAGCAATTTAACATTTTTTATGCTAACAAGCATCTAAAAGAATTCCCCATCTGTCAAAACGTGTAAAGAATTTATTGCGAAAAATATTACCTCTGCCAGGATTTGAACGTCAATCTTCCCACGTGCCAATAATAATAATTATAAATTTTTTCCCGTGTATATTTCATGTTTGTGATATTCACGGAGAATTTCTCCGTGAATATTAATAATTGGAGAAATTATCTTTTTCTAATGTGCCGTTAATGTGATAGCTTTTGAAATACTTTGAGAGACTATCCGTGTTAAACAGAAATGTACATTTAATTTTAACTTCTCAATGGATTTGAAAGAAAATTTTAAAGAACGAATGAAGCAATATGCTTCCAAATTTGCATATATATAATTTGTATTATAAAAGAAATATCATTTTTTAAACTTATACATCTATACTACGTTTCTTTTATAATGCTACTTTGCTACAGACCACTTTGCTACAATTAATTGAAGCGTTTAATAATTAGTGGAGATTGAATTTAATTTCAACCTTGCACCTTCAGTGCAAAAACAGCAATTTTATTGATTATATTATAATAATTTACCACGTTACACATGAGTATTAATGCACTCAACAATCAAATTTTTCTATTATATTTAAGGAACGATCTTTTTATTTATATTTACAATAATATGCTTATATTTAACAATGTAATTTAGTTATTTTAGTATATGTAAGAACGGAATGAATCGGTAAATCGTACACTGTAATATCTTTATTTGAATGTCAATGCAGCAAAATGAAGTGTAAAGTTCTGAATACATCGCAATGTACACACGAACGTAGTACCCTCAATGGTTTGAGTTTTATTCTTACTAACATCTAACATTTATAAATAAAAGGGAAACTTATCATTATAAAGCATGAGTGTAAAGTTGTTAATTATGGAAATTTACTTTTTTAATTGAATGTATGAATATTTAAATTAAAATTTTTTGCCTAATTAACAATTTATAATAACATACTTAATTATCGTACAAAAGTTTTAATTTAATGCTAATTTTATCGTCATGTATGCATTGCAGTTATGTATCCATTGTTTTAATTTACACACTCTCTGCAACTAATTCATAACAAAAATTGAATTTGTTGATGCAATGGAAAAACGATATACCCGTATGACTGTTATTCGTAATGGAAAAATGTCCTCAAAAAGAGTTTCATTTTGAAATAATCTGTATTCATAGGAAAGCATACTAACGAAGCGGAAACTTTTCCGTCATGCTATATCACACGTTTATACAATCTGTCTTCTTACCAAGTACGATCCACATAACGATAATATTGCCACCAGTTGCGACCAGCACGATCACCGCGTATATCGAAGACCAGAAGAGCTTCTGCCACCATGGCAAATCGAACGGCCGTTCCTGATTGCCGAGAATACAGTCGCGGAGCGCCTGCTGAATAATATCACGTCTGGTTGACTTGTTTAACGTCTCCTCGATAAAATAACGGATCTCGCTAAAATTTAGCTTCAGTAGCATTGTAACATTGAGATCCAGAACCGATGCGGTGCAATTGTACAAATGCTCCAGGTTTGGGCTATTCATATTTGTAAAGGTTTGTCTTTAGCGATCGTACGGACACTCCCGGGGCTTTGTGTTCAATCGTTATCTCTCCGTTCGTTTCCTCCAAACAGCACGTTAAATCGATTTTATGAGCTGTTACCAATTTCCTCCGACGTGACGCACAATGAACTGGCGAGTAACTATCATTATGGCTTAACTTGATTGCTCGTTATTGGAAAAATGTGCACGTAATTGATACGAATTTGTGGTGCTTGATTGGAAGTCTCATACAGTTCGTTGTTTAATCAGTGCAATCGACATTAATAACTTTCAAATACTAACTTGATTACATTTTACTCCTTTATTTGCGGCGCACTTTTTTATATCCCAAATACTTCTGTTAAAACTTATTGTCCGTCGATCTAATAAGATTGCCTTTAAAGCTGGAATAAACGCAAAATGGTTGTATCTCCAGATCACTTTGTCAGGGGATTCTCAGATATCTTATTCAGTAAGCGCTTGGAAATCTACGTTACATTAATTAGATCTATAGAGATCTGCTTTATCTTTACGTAGATTTTGCAAATTAGTTGAACCTTCTTGGAATTATTTTAAATCTTTAACGCTTTCTTTATTTTAATTCTTCCCCCACTTTACCGCATTAATTGTATAACATTTTAAAATAATAATTTTTATGTATTATCAATACTTATCGTTGTGTTTTTAGACGAATAATATTACTTAAACTTTTAAACACTTTCTATAAAACGCGCGTTCAACAACTGCGAATGACAGCCTTTCTGCAAGATTTCTTTCCATCCATTACTAAAATGCGCTTCGCATTTATCATACACTTCAGAGGCACAATATCATTCGTAATCAGTATATTTTTCCCTTTCTTTTTAATCAGTTAATAGAAAGCGCAAAGCTTTGAATTTACGATCGTTTTATGAAAGTCATTGTCACTGACAGTAACAAACGACAGAGTTTATCACGTTGCGTCCGGGAACTTGACAGTGCGTATCCGCATATTCGACGAATCTTGATTGTCTCTTGTCGATCGGTACCTGTCATTTATTTGCGCGCGGCTTGATCGATTCGTCAATTGTCGACATTATTGTCGCAAAATTATCGAAGACGATTTGTGCGCGCGCGTATCCACGTAAAGGACGTTTATATTTACGAGTGATCGTTCGTCAATCCATCCCGTTCGTCAGGTGGATCAAGCCGGTGTACCGCATCGAAGAACCCCGACGGTGATACTGAAGGCTCAAAAGCGCGTTCATTCAGCGGTGCGTGCGCACCATGAGCATTCTCGCACCCCTTTCCTTCGTCGCCCACCACGCCGAGACTTTCCACTTGGGCACAAGTGTCAGCTGATGGGAAAATACGCGAGTGTCTGCGCCGATTCCAGCCGGATATCAGTACGTTCGTCGATTTATGATAGCTATTTTTCAGGATAAAAGCTTGAGAGACTTGCGTCACGTTCGGTGGGACACTTCTCAGATTCAACAGATGTTTTATATTACGTGCAGGAATGCATCCGGAGATCTGGCACTTTCTGAGATAACGTAGACTCTGATCCCCCAGCATGTTGTATCTACAATATGCTACGGTGCCACGTACGTTTCACAACGTTTTTAGATTTTCAGATTTTATACGATTTTATAAGAAGACATATTTTAAGTTTTATATTTTAGAAAAGTACTAGCTCAGTTTTAGCGGAATAAAAATCGTTCTGAAAAGCTTTTATTTTTACAAAGACTTATTACATAATATACATATTTTGCAAAACTATTTATATGCCAAATTAGTTTATTGATTTAAATTATTGTTTAATTTATATTAATTTTAATTTAATTACTTATACTGTGTATTAATTTCATGTTATTGTATTTATTCATGTTATGTTACTTACGAGCTCTATTGTAATGCTATCTTTTAACAAGCAAAAGTTGAATTAATTATTGATAAATCTAAACTTATAGAATCTTGAACGCTAATAAAGATAATATTACATGTAATATTTATACATTCTTAGCACGAAAATTCGCTTCAGCAAATATGCATCGACAAATATTGTAATTTAAGAAGTGATTTGTAGAAAATATGCGAACATTTCCCTTGCCAGCAGGTCTTCTCATCGGAACCAAATATAAATAGGGGTAGTGAGAAATAAATTTTCCATTCTGGTAGAAATTTACAAAACACCATTTAATTAATGCCGGGTAGGAATGTCTTATGCTCGAAAAGCATAATTAAAAGCAGTGATTATTTACGCTATAAATTACGCTCTTTGTAGGAAATTCATCTTTTATTATTTTTTTGCAATTAATGACCTACCTAATAAAATTTCAGTAAGTATTTTCATAGAACTATACTATAATTTTGACAAAATTTTCTCCGTCGTACTTGTTTGATATTCAGATCAGACTTCACGCCTTTGTCATGGAAAAATGTCATTTTCCTTTCGTGCGAATGAGAATGATAATAATCATAGCCCCACATTTCTTCGAAAGCGTTGTGAGTTATAGACGTATTTCCATTCTTGTTATAGCATAAAGAAGCCTGACTCGTCAATATACCCGAAAGACGGAGTTTATCATATAAACTCTGCAATCATCTCCTGTAGTGTAACTTTATCATATCTTTAGCATAACGTTTTCGTAAAGTAAAAGAAAATATATATATACCGCGTGAGAAAATCTCGCAAGTAAATATGACGCAACGTATTATTGAGTATACCGTTATTATAATAAATACCTTTCACAATACTGATAAATGTCGGAATTACTTAACAACTAACTTAATCTTTTTTTAATAATTTTAAATTTATTATATAAAGGTAACATTACGCTAAACATCACAATTTAATTTAATTATATTTTTTAAATACTGCTGTACTTTATTTTGTAATTTCTTTTATGACAAAGTAAAGCCTCTTATAATATGATGAGAAATAAGTTTACTTGCTGGTAGAAATTGTTGGTAGAAATGGAAAACTTTTTTTAAACATAACGTAAATCACGTAAACATCAAAAGTAGTATTGAGCTTTAAATCCAGCTTGCTACGCCTGTATAAAGCTAAAAGTTTGCAGCTTTATAGATGGACGAAGAAAAAAAATATCTTTCTTCTCGGTTAACTGTATTCGTATCTGGGCCTTCCAACTTAAGTGAAAGTGGAAAAGTATGCTCCTCACGTACGGTTGACTTCACATTGAGATACCTCATCATACGAAATACAAAGATCTTAGAAAAACTTTTTATATGTATATCTCGGAAAAGCACAGACTCCAATAGCATAAGAGAGACACCGACTACTACTTATTCAAATTTGCAAAAAAAAAGCTCTGAATTGCTCTGAATATTTAACGAATAGAGAGATGCGATTTACCAATCTTATCAATTGATATTCCAGGAAGCTAAAATGAATTTAATCATCTGCCGCAGATTGAAAAGGATAATGTCGAGAGGAATCGGACCGGAACGTTAAAATTATGCAATAAAATTTTAATCGCCTTTCAAAAACATTTTATTACAAGAAATTTATTAAGCGTGATTAATAATTCATTTAACTCTCTAAAATCATTCTAATTGTATACAATTATCGATCTAAATGTATACACCAATTAATTTCTTTTAACACTGTAAGTAAATTTTTACTTACACATAGAACATTGAATAAAAACAAAATAATATTTGTCTAAATATATTTATATAACATCTGTATATTTTTTGTATATATACTTTGCATTATGAGTTTGCAGACATATGTTGTGTGTTATTGTGTTGTGCAAACACAAGGCAATATGTGAAAGAAACAGGTTTTTTTTATGAAATGTGTAACGTATACAAGGCGATATAGCCTCTTAGAAAGCTCGTTAGTAAAAGTTAGTAAGCTTATAAAGCATGGCTTAAATCTTATTGGAAGGGAAAACGAATACAAAAGACGGAAACATAATTTAGTGAAACTGAAATATGTGAATAATTTGTTTAATAGAATTAATTTTAATTTTGTATGTATCTACATCTATAATCTGTTCAACAAGCTTCTATTAAATAATGTTATTTTAAATATAAGAAAGATAATCTTTTCTACTTGCACCAATTACCGTTTAAATATTATTAAATATTTTTAATTATAACTGTATATGTATAAAAAGAATATGAAAATATTTTTACGTTTCTAGTAACTTATAGTAATTGAATTATAATTAAATATGTTTAACTTATTTTTACTTTAAAATGTAATTTTTTGTTACTATTATGCATAGAATCCAGATAAAGTAATATTTTTAGATCATATGGTAGTCCAGCAAATCCCATTTGTAATTTATGTACGAAGAATTCGATCAAAATTTTTCTCACAAAATTATCTTTGAAATTTCTACAAAAGGGAAGATTATTCTGCCTGATGCAATCAATATTATTATGGCTATTATATTTTTCACAATATTTTTATGTTACAAAAGCGACAGAATTTATTTACGCTATTTGTTAATTACACTGTACTGATGTTTTTTAAATATCTTGCTCGTGTATTCATGTTTACATTTTGTACCAATTTCAATCAGCCAGCTGATTGAAATTTACATGTTTATCTTTTTCGGCAAGCGTCAAATATACAGACTCAAATAGAAACTTGAAGGGTGTCTGATACATGGCATACAGGGGAGTTTCATAGAAGTTAGACCGTGCACACCCACACGTATCATCATATGTACATATAACAGATTATTATTCGAAAGAAGACCCTCCGAGACTAGGCAGATGTTTGTTGTGGAAGGGATAGGTTGCGACAAAATATTGGCGTTTCTCACTCGAGGCTGAGTATATAACTCCCGAAATATTTCGCACGGATTTGTTTGGTATGCAAGTAAGGGCTGCGAACAACAGAAAAGATTTATTATTCATATTAATAGAAGATAAAGTAATTGAATACTTTTGGAATAAACAGGAAGTGCTGAGTATCCGAAGACAGTATTATGTCATTTTTATAGAAAATATATACAAACTTGTTTGAAATATTCAATCCGTTGCTCTGAAGAAAATGGAATAGAAACAAATATGTACAAATTCCGAATGATTGATATGGGATATGATTTAAAATGAAAATAACTTTTTTGTCAACGTAAATAGAATAGCTTTTGGATAAAAAATATCCTGGTACATAGTTAGTTTTCTACACAAAAATAATTTGAAAATTACTTAAATAAATTATACATTTTTACATCTGTAATCACTATTTGCAGCAGATTTTAATTTTGAAATTTGTTTTTAAGCAATGGATAAAAAGCAATTTTTTTAAAGACATTATGGTTTCAGTCAAGCGAAATTATCTACGTGTTCTCAAGGTGTACTCAAGCGAAGTTAAAACAAGAGTTCAAGCTTAGATTAAACGCAAGTGTAATCCAAGATTACCCTTGGTAAGCAAGCTTAAACTTTACTACATAATATGCTTGGAAATATGCGAAGAATTGAAATTACATTTTTATAAATTGAAGGTGACAGTGACATCGATAAATTCTTTATCTGGTTTATTATTTTTTATTATAAAATAATAAAACAGACTATAATATAATTTATGGTATTCTATATTATATAAGTATATATATGTATATTCTAAATAGTATATAATATTATGTATATATTATATTAAAAATGAAGAACTAACAGAAAATTTAAATTTATTTGAAACGCTTTAAATACACTTTAATTAAATAATTTTTTTAAGCTGATTTATTTTTACCTTATTTTATTTGGAGTAAAAAATCTATTTGCAATAGATTTTAAATTATTAATAATAACGTAACAGTTTTCACTTGATTGGCTGGTGCACCAAAATACTAGCACCTGTACAGCAAATTTGTGGTAACTTTACATGAGATTTTACCTAAATTCAACCTTTCCGTCGTATCCTGTTTTCCCCGTCTTGTGGTTTCTATTCACTTCACTACACGTAGCACGACCTACGTATAATTAAACTAGCATTTAATTAAATTATTGCCATTGATTCGAGTCACGAACCTTCACATACAAATGTCATAATTTGTTATAGAAGCTATAACATAATTTATCAAAGTGATATAAAGTGTTCTCTATTTAAAGATATTTACCACAAAATGCAATTAATAATATATACCGTTTTATTTATTTTAAAATAAAATCCTCCAAAGAATGCACACAATTGATATGCTAACCGTTTTATTAAAATTAACATAATACTCATAAATACAATCTAATATCTATTATGTGTTAAAGTATTGTATAAGTTTATATAACACATATTTTTTATTATTAAAAATTAAAATTTTCAATGCCATAACGTCGCACTTGATATTATTTATAATTAACATAGTAATGATAATTACTATACTTTACAAATATGCTTTACAAATTCTTTTTTAGATTGTACAA